ACTATTACTAGCCATGTTTTAAAGCCATAGCAATAGCATTGCTTAAAGTCGTTAGTCACATTAATTTGAGACATTTTGGTATTTACTCTTCGAATCAAACGTTAACAGTTCTTTCTCTCCTATCATGATAACTCCTTTGACAGATATATGCAGATGTATATGCACAGTACAGAATGAGATTTGTTACAGGATAAATTCTATTGTTACAGTAGTTTTCAATCTTCTGTATATTCTTCATGTGACATCGTCACTGTCGATGAATCTCATATTATAGGACTAGACAGCCGTCTAGGACTTCTAATTGTCTACTGGTAGACTAACAACAGTTCGGTTCTTACTTTAAATAATGTATGAAAAAACCTAATAAATCTGTGGTGCGCTCTACTTATAAGTAGTATATGACACGAGGAATAACGTAATGTCTGGCAGCAGAATATGGGGGAAGATGAAGAAAGGAAGAGTGGGAACACAATGGAATTTGTATGAAACGCATGAACAGAGTGAAATGTCAGACAACAATGGATTGATATTTTTGCAACAGGAACAGTCCAGTTCGATATGATCAATTGATATTTTGCAAATGAACGATTTACGATATGGTTTTTCTATTTTACCAATTCGGTCGCCCTCACCTATGTTCTCCTTAACTACAACTCTTTATTTTGTTTGATTCAATTTGAGAGATAATCTAAAAAGACTTTTTCAAAAAAAGAAATCCGACAATATTGAAACATTTATTTTAAATTGAAACCCGCGAATCAATCATCGGTTAGATCACTGTTAAATCACCTGAAAGCATTGAAGAACCATTTCCGCCTGGTATGTGACTCATCACCAATGGACATCCACAACTTCACGGCGAACACTTAAACTTTTAGCCACTGAGTCAACATCCAGTAGTGTTTAAGTCTAAATTTATTGAATCCAAGGTGTTACACAACATCACCCATTCTCTTCAGGGATTACTACCTACTCCCGAAAAGATTAATCTCCACTAGTCATGACTTTTCACTAAGAACTTCGAGAATTCTACCACAAAGCTAACTAACCACTACTGAACACTTCATCAATATAAACTAATTTTACAATGAAAAATACATTTATTTTTAATTTATTTATTTATTACAACAGTAAATATAAACAAATCTTTTTTTGATTTCAAAAAATAGTACTAAGAATCAAACAAACGCATTAAAACAACCGCCATAAAATCACATCAAAATTTAAACAAAATTACAATGTCAAATTGATCAAGGTAGAAATAGTTACATTTTTTGTTTGTTAACTGATCATCATATCGACGAGACACACACACACATAAACAGACAGAGAACAAGAGAGAGAATGAGAGAGACAGTTGATTTTACCTGAATTTATGTTGGACATGGTTGACTTTTCCAATTCATCATCATCATCTCATGTTACATACACACCACAATGAATTTTAGACAATGGTCGAATTAAAATGTTGTATACACTAGTTACATTTTTTTATTGAGAACAAAACAAACATGGAGAGAAAATTATTCACTACTGATTAAATATTCAATTTCAAAATGTTTACATCATCATGATGATGATCAATGTTGAATGCTGTTAAATTGGTTCTTTGTTTTAATAAAATTGTCGTTCAATATTATTCTTTCTGGCAACTGAATTATGAAAATTGTAGACAGATATAAAGAATAAAACGATTTAAATATTTTTTGATACATTGTTTGATAGTTCAAATGTCTCCAGTTTCAAATATTATGTGACGACTATTGAACATTGATCAATCATGCTAAACGATTCAAACAAAAAGGTGGCGGTGACCTATTTTTAATTTTTGATGGTATCAAATTTTTTCCAAAGCATATATTTATCTCAGTTAGATATTGGAGTGAAGAATATCGAAAATTTTTATAAAATATCCTAACTAATCTATGCTTTGGTGAAACATATCTGATTAGTCAAGGAAACGAGAAATTATTCGGCATAAAATTGAATGTGAGAATTTGTGAATGAATATGAATATATATTCTTATAGTTGATCTGAGTTAGATCACTATTGGAAACCTGGAGGCAGTAGATGGCTGTTTCGTTCTAGTAGGAGACTCTTTAGAAATGAGCATCTATGACTATACCACAAACAGGAATCCAAACCGTGACCTTCGGTTTCAGGTGTTAAAACATTATCTTTAAGACTAGTGTGACAACATCAGACAGTGTAAATGTCTTACTTCATTCAGTTCACCATATTGAGTGACTATCACTCACTGCCTGAAGCAGATAACTGTCTTGTTTTGCGGTGTAGAAATAGGTTGGAAGAAAGCTAGAGGTGGCCATACCAAAACACGGCACCAGGTGGACTGAGCCATGTTGGTGGATGTCAGCGACCTGGTTAGGACTCGCGAGATGATAATAATCGACGGTTAGAGACCCTGAATAACATGACTAAAAATCGTTTGCAATGGTACAAGTGCATTCATTCTTCGTGTTCTCTCAAATCCTAACCTTCTGAATTCCTCACCACATTTATCTTTTTTTAAGTTTATTTCACTAGATTCTACTTCTTGAATAATACTGCCGAACCCTAATCTCTCCGATTAATGCTAATACTTGTACTAACTCCACTAGTGTGAGAATTGAATTGACAATTTAATCGCTCTGTGCTAATGTGGTATAGCAACTTGAACTGATGTACGTAAGTAAGTACGAAGTTCTACGTTGCTGTTAATTGATTGATTGATCTAATCTAATAGTAGTATAAAGTTGGTCATCAACTTATTCTTCATGTGTGTTGTAAACGTCAGCGATCAATATTATTTGACAAATGTCATATCAATAAGTTTTCTACCAAATACTGCTGATACCATGAATCGAACAATGTTAGACCGTCATTAGAAACCTGGAAGCTCTGCAAGACGGCCGTTTCGTCCTGGTATGGGAATCATCAGCAGTGCGCATCCACGACTACTGCACCTCGCAGGATTCGAACCCAGGACCTTCGATATTGTTCCCGAACGCTGTGCCGTGATCCGATGCTATTAATGTCTAGCTTGATCAATTCACGGAGTTGCGCAACCTCATACACAGTCTTCGGTAGTAGTTACTGTCTACACCCGAACAGGTTGAACTTCACTGTTTACGTCTTGCTGAGGAGTCCCATACCAGGACGAAACAGCCATCCAGTGCTTCCAGGTTTCTCATGGTGATCTAACATTGATCGATTAATGGTTTAAAAATGTGTAACTTAACAATCTTTAAAACCCCGTAATGGAAATATTGTTGAATTGAAAGATTTTATCCACTGATGATTTCATCGATAAAAGTATTTATTTTTCTCATCGAAATGATGAACTGTTCAATTTTAAATCAATATTAAAAACCTGCACTCATTGGGCGGCCATTGCATACTAGTAAGAGACACATCAGAAAAGCGCATGCCAAACATATTCTACACATAGGAATCCAACCTAGGACATTCAGTCTAGCAAACAAATGCTTAACCCCTCGACTACTGAGCTAGCATCCCATCGATTTACAATATTGTGCAATTATCATCTCTTACCTTCAGTGGATAAAATTACCTCATATTAGACAAAGATTAACTGCACTACTGACGAGTCTCATTCTAGAGATGAAAAACACCTATTCACTGCTTCCAGGCTTCTAATGGTATTTAGAGTACTGATTCAGTCATAATTTACAGTCAGTCAGTCGATTGCAACGTAGAACTACGTGCGTATGTACATAAGTTCATGTTGCTATACCACATTAGCACAAAGAAGCAGATGTCGAATCAAATCCCATAGTGATAAAGATAGTAGAGGCATTAATGGTAATGAAGAAGACTAGGGTTCAAAGATATTATTCAAGAAGTAAAATTCAGTGAATGAGATAAGGTTAGAAAGACAAAGCTAGAGGTGCTGACGAATCTAGAAGATTAGGATTTGAGAGAGCATAACGAATGGATGCACTTGCACCGTTGCAAACGATTCACAGCCATGTCATTCAAGGTCTCTAATGATTGATGACTATCGTCTCGCGGACCCCAACCAGGTAGTCTACATCTAGCAACATGACTCAGTCCACTAGTCAGTGACTTCATGGATTTCTGCCATGTTTTTGTTTGGCCGCCCGTAGCTTTCTTCCAACCTACTCCTACACCACAAAACATAGCTCGTCGAGGTAGTCGGTGGTTAGCCATACGTAACACATGTCCCATCCACCTCAACTGATGAAGTTTCATTATTTCATTTATTGATCTGCCATCCTTACCCGTTTCCTAACGACAGCATTGCTTACTCGGTTGTCCCACGATATACGAGCAATGCTTCTTAAACATCTATGATCAAATACTAGTAACTTACGAATACCTTCTACTCTCACTGGCCATGTTTCACAGCCACATAGTGGAACGGAGCAAACTATTGCGCAGTAAACCCGTCCTTTGATTAGCTAACGGATATCTCGCCTACGCCATAAGTGACGAAGGTTGGCAAAAGCCAATTGAGCCTTCTGTATCCGAGCTGAGATTTCGTCAGTCACCAGTCCATCGGTACTGATGAGACTCCCCAGATAAGTGAAGCGGTCTACTCGCTCGACTACTTCACTCCCTATCACTAATTCAGGTGCCGATGCAACCCAATCTTGAAGCAACACTTTGCATTTCGAAGGTGAGAACCGCATCCTGAACATGCTTAGATTGTTGCTTATGGTAGTCAGAAGACTCTGCATTTTGTCAGCGTCTTCACCGAATAGAACTATGTCATCGGCATATTCTAGATCAGTAAGCGAATTTCCTGGTAGGAGGTCAACCCCTGAGAAATCTGACGAGCTTAATGTTAACTCTAAGAGGATGTCTACGACAAAGTTAAACAAGAATGGAGAGAGTGGACAGCCCTGACGGACACCACTTGATGTTGAGAATTCAGATGACAGTTTTCCATATGCTCTCACTCGAACAGTGATGTCATAATTTACAATGAAATTCAAACAGCCACAAGATCAACAACTCAATACAATAAATAATGTATATTTATTTGAATTTTTTAAAATTCAAAAAAATTATTCCGAATGAATTTTTACATATGGGAATTATTATTATCAATGAACAAGTTTGTTTTAATTGTGTGTGTACATTCATGATTCAATCAGTCATTCAATATGGCCGACAAGGAAGCCATTTTTTCGAAAGAAAGCAAACAAACAAATCAGAACAAGTATATTGTACATTGAATAAAATGATTAGTTATAAATATGAATTTTCTCTGTGAGTCGTCAAATGCACTGGAGAAATCAAAAAGGTTTTAACATTAGTCATATTATCCATAAAACCATAAACCAAACGTATCATCAATGTGCTTTTTGACTGACTTCAACTGATTGATGTACACCGAAACGAAATTTACATTTACCCCATGTTTCCATATGAAATATACGTTGTTGTGATTTATTCATTGGTTCAGTCCAAACATATGGACCATATTTATTTGTTGGACCATTTTCATGGGAACGATCTGATTTAAGCAATTCTTGTATAATTGTGCCTAAATCACCTTCAAGATATTTAATCAATGCATTATCATGTATAGGATCTAAGAATAACACACGTAATCGACCATACATGGTAGTACGTAGACGGAAACAACAATTCATTTCTTCTTCGTCAATTTTGACCTAAAAAAACAGTTTGAAAAAACAAAAAAAGAATTGTTCAATTGTCAATATATAGTGTTGTAGTGATAATTGAAGGTCATTTGTGAAGTATTTGCGAGTGAGTCCGAATGTTCTGGGTTCGATATTCCCACTAGTAGGGTGGTTGCGGTTGGTAGTGATGTGGTTGAAAGTTTCATTTAATCTGAAGATCTACGTGTGGTTTCCTATTATGTATTATGTATATATGACAGGGTGTCTGATGGTGACTGATATAGATGATTTCGAGAAACGGTGGAATACCGCCTATGAGAGATGATGATATTATGTTAGGATATTCATCAAATATCTATCCTAAGAGAATTATTCTTGTAAGTCTAATTCTATTAGTCAATATTTAAGGTCGTCTTAACTATCAATGTCATAGAGTTTAATTTGCATAACGGGGTTGTGAAGATTGTTAAGTTACATATTTTTATTGAAACTATAAATCGATCAGTGTTAGACCACCAACCTCTGGACCACTGAGCCTGTATCAAACGGTGTTAATGTCTAACTTGATCAAATTCACGGAGTTGCGCAACCTCATACAGAGTCTTCGGTAGTTACTGTCTACACCCGAACAGGATGGACTTCACTGGTCACGTCTACCCACTAGAACTCGGAGAAGATTCCTCACGAAGCTAGTCACTAGTGAGCACAGGTAACTCTGTGAATTGATCAAGTTAGACATTAACACCGTTAGATACCGGCCAGTTCAGTGGTCCGATGTTTGGCCGTTCGCCTATAATGCCGAAGGTCCTGGGTTAGAATCCTGCGGTGTGCAGGAGTCGTAGATGCGCACTGCTGAGTAGTCCCATGCCAGAACGAAACGGCCATCCATTGCTTCCAGGTTCCTGATGGTGGTCTAACACTGGTCGATTCATGGTTTCAAAAAATGTGTAACAGACTTTAATGTTGTTTCCTGTTCGACCTAACTGTAAAAATAGGCATTATCTGTAAAGCTCATATTTCCTTCATCTCTTCTGTACTCGACCCCACAAACAACTTCATCTAACGGTGTTGTTTTCTGATATATTGGAGATTTGGAGCCAGTATTTGGGAATATCTGGAATATCTAAAATTTGGTCAGTCGGTAAGGATTTCGAATAGCTACATAGCAGCATTATAACACATCAGTGTTTGATTTCGGTTGATGGATGAGTCTCATTCAATTGTTTCGGATTTCTAATGGTAATCGAACATTGATCGATTCATGGCCTCAATGAAAAATAATTCAGTTGAATTACCAATCAGATTCGAGAAAATAATTTCAAAATTGTTGCATGAATGTCGACCAGGTTTAAATAAAACATTTTTCAATGTTTATTAAGTTAACTGTTTTGAACAGTTTCAATTTGATTTTTTTTCCACTGATTTTATGAAAAAAAAACAACTTGAATTCATTGTGTAATTGTTTGAAACCATGAATCGACCAGTGTTAGGCCACCATTAGAAGCCTGGAAGCACTGGACAGCTGTTTCGTCCTGGTATGGGACTCATCACTGGCAGTGCGTATCCTTGACTCCTACACCCCACAGGATTCGAACCCAGGACCTTCGGTATTGTGTGCGAACACCTAACCTGTGGACCACTGAGCCGGTATCTAACGGTGTTAATGACTAACTTGATTAATTCACGGAGTTGCTCAACCAGGTTTCTGCTAATGGTGTTCTAACATTCATCGATTCATGGTTTCACAAAAATGTGTAACTTAACAATCTTCACAACCCCGTAATGCATTGTGTAATTGTCATTTTCTGACATTTTATTGTTGTTGTACAGACACCGTCAGTAATAACCTACTGTTGAACAGAACAAACCAAATTCCAATCGAGAAAGAAATCAGTAAGAAACAATGGAAGTGGATAGGACATACACTAAGGGAAGCATCCAACTACGCCACAAGGCAAGCCCTCATTTGAAATCCTCAAAGTCAAAGGAAAAGACGAAAGTCAAAGAAACACATTACGCTGAGATATAGAGAAAGATATGAGAAGAATGAACAACAGCTGGACAGAACTGGAAGTGGAAGCCTAGAACAGAGTAGACTGGAGAATACTGGTCGGCAGCCTATGCTCCGTTGGGCGTGAAAGGCAAGAGTAAGTAAGTAAGTGCATAAGTAAGTAAGTAAGTGCATAAGTAAGTAAGTAATGCGTCTGAAATAGAAATGAAGTACACAGAACATCTACATTTCATTGTTAATCAATGATCCATAATAAATTAACGAATGTAACAAAACGATGAAATTTGAAAAAATTGGACTTTGAACAGTTAATTGAACATTGAATGGATAGAATATTCCATAGTTCACTTTTTTTCGAAAAAAAAAATTTATTTGTTTAGTTTAAAGTGTGTTTATATATTTTAAAATTTAAAAAATAGTTCAAAATCAATTTATAAAATTGTTTTAAACAATGAATTGGTTTGTTTTAACAAAAAGATTGTAATTCATTGTTTCATATCAATCAGTAGAGAGAGAGAGAATCTGAATAATAAAGTTTTTATTTGATATTTTTGAGATTATTCAGTAGTTAGTTAGTTGGTTGGTTGATATTGTTTTATAGATTGCGTAATTTATATTTCAATGAACTGAAATCGATTTGAAAATCGTTGTAATACAACTAGATAGTGTTGGATAATTGTGTTTGTCCTGATATAAGACTTAACATCAGTGACAGACTATTGATTATTCTGCAAGGATTAGAGAACTTAGCTGATTGCAGATTCAGACTTTTCAATTGATATTGAATTTTACAAAAACAAATCAATAAAACTACAATGAACATCAATCAATCAATAAGAGGTGACTCATTCAATGAAATCAATTGATATATTGATAAAGTTGAAATCATGAATGAATTGATCAATGTTAAATGACCATAGAAAAATCTGAAAGTACTGGACGGTCTTCTTGTCCCTGTATTGGGCTAAGTGGCAGTGTGAATACGAGACCCCTGCCGTTGGGAATTCAAACTAGGATATGTAGTATGACACACGAACAGTTAACCTCTAAGCATTTGATGGTATAATTATCTAACTTTAACTATCTACTATCTTCTTGAGTGGTAACTGCCTCACATCCAAAACAATCGACACTCAACAGTCTCCATAACCCCAATAATGATGGTTATCATGTGCTCACTACTTACTAGCCTCATGAGGATATTCTCGGAGTTCTAGTGACAGACTATGATCAGTGGAATTCAACCATGTTGGACGTGAGGCACTTACTCATCAAACACAATGGATGAAGTCTGATTAGTGTCTTGTACTTGTCACCTGATATTAGTCGACTTTTAAATACAAAACGTTACTTCAACTTGCGTTGCCACGCTTCACAGTTCGACCAAAAAGTGAATCGTAACGTCAATCATAGTGGTAGTAGTGTAGTGAACGAGAACACAGGTGGGGCAACCGATTTGTGTTTACCCTAAATTACAGAGTTACTCAGTAAAATTGGAAAACCATATCGTAAATTGTTCATTTGCAAAATATCAGTCCATCATATCGAACTGGACTGTTCCTGTTGCCAAACATCAATCCATTGTAACTGTTCATGCGTTTTATACAAATTCCATTGTGTTCTAACTCTTCCTTTCTTGATCTTTCTCCATCTTCTGCTGGCAGACATTACGTTGACGCTCACGTCATATACTACTTATGAGTAGCTCACACCACAGTAGTAGCAGCAGTCGTCAAATTCAAAATGATATCAGAAAATACTGTTTACAAACAGAAAACAGAATGAAAAACTTATACTTACTTCAGCTGATGCAGAATGTCTTGGTGGCACAGTGACACGTGTATCTACACCCCAAGCAAGTTCTTCTTCAGTTGATTGTCTTGCCGAGGAACCAATGGAAATTTCATGTTTAAATCCAGCATTTGCTTCCATAATGGAATTTGGTAACTAAAAAAAAACAATTAAATTTTTAAAAAAGTGAAACAGTGAAAAAAGATTGTTTGTGTATGAAAAGTTACAAATATGATTGGTATGACTGAAATCATGAATCGATCAGCGATAGATCAGCATTTGAAACCTAGAAGCAATCGATGGCCGTTTCGTCCTGGTACGGGACTCTTCCACAGTGCGCATCCATCCAGGATTCGAACACAGGACCTGCAGTCTTAGGCGCGAATGCCTAACCTCTTGCCCACTGGGCTGGAATCCAAAGGTATCAGTGTCTAACTCTGATCAATCAAGGGATTTTGCGTAACTTCACCCATTTGTATTCAGTAGTTACTGCCTACAACCGAAAGAGTTGAACTCCACTGGTCACATCTTCTCACCAGAACTTTGAGAAGTTCCTCACGAGGCTAGTCACCTTAGTGACTGCAATGTACTATTTTTCATTATAAAGTTAGGGAGATCGCTGTTTGCTATCGAAAACAAGACGAAATGACCCTCCAGTAGTTTCAGGTGGTAGTCTAACAATGACTGATTCATGAGTTAGATAAAAAATAACAATTTCGATAAGCTTTTAATCAAAAAGTGATTGTCATTGTAATGTCGAATTACAAACAATGATGACCGTGGCTGAAATTTTATCAGCCTTGGTTAGCATCCTATATGGATCATCTCGATATAAGGATTATAACAAATGTTGATATAAGTGACAATACAATCCAGGACTCACGATTCCTCCTATTTCCGACTCGTCATTGTCTAGATGTACCTGTCACATCAGACAGTTGATGTTCACTCTGGCACTTGAACCTAGTGCCATTCGTTTTAAAACGCTATTTGCTCACCAAAACGGATTGAATAACAGTTCAAATATCAACAACAGGATAATCCAAACCTTTCTCATTAGTCAGTTGGATAATTAAGAAGGCGTTTAATGCCAATGTCACTTCAAATGTTGCTTCCTATTGGTCGTATTAACTGTCAATATCACAGACTTCGATGTTGTTTCCTATCCGACCAAAATGTATAAATACGCATTATCTGTAACGTTTTATGACCACGACCAGGATCAGAACCCGGTCCCGGATCGCTAGTCCGGAGTAAAAATAAGAAGACTTGATATGAAGTAGAACGTGTATTCTATAAACATCTAGAAAGTAGGAGGTCCAAGTCCAGAAGAGAATCAGGACTCCGGACTAGGGATCCGGGTCCGGGTCAGGTCCATAAAACGTTACAGATAATGCGTATTTATACATTTCAGTCGAATAGAAAACAGCATCGAAGTCTGTGACATTGACAGTTAAGACGACCAATAGGAAGCAACATTTGAGGTGGCATTGACAGTCAGTACGACCATAAAACTGACCAGTAGGAATTAACCAATAGGAATTGACAAATAATTCTCTTAGGATATTTGATGAATATTCTAACAGTTAGACTACCATTAGCGATCTGAAAGCATTGGACAGCTGTTTCATTCTACTGTGGGACTCTACAGTAGTGTACATCCATGACCACTATACACGGGAATCCATCTCAGAACATTCAGTCTCGCGTGCGAACGATTAACATCTAGACCACTGAGTTTGCATCATACGGTGTTATTCTCTAACTTCAATAAATCCAAGATATTGCACAACCTCATCCATTGTCTTTGGTAATTAACTGCCTTACATCCGACAAAGTTGAACTCCACTGATCACAGCTTGTAACTAGAACTCTGTGAATGAGCACATTTCTCTGATTTTCACTAAAACGTTGTTAAGATTGTCGGGTTTCATTGAAACCATGTACAGATGATCATTGTTAGATCACCAGTTAAAACCTGAATGCATTGCATAGCCGTTTCATCTGACTATCGTACTCAACGGTAGTACTCATACACCAACCCCCTCTCACAAGAATCAAGTTTCACACTAGAACCGAAACGGCTGTTCATTACTTACAAGTTTCTTTTTAAATATGTCGAAAATAATTTAAACCGTTCAAAGTTCAATATCATGCTAATTCAATGCTTCATTCTAGTATGATGACTCATTTTAAATATATTTTTTAAAATAACGATAACAAAAATGTATTTTTGTATTCGATTACTCAAAAAAAACAAACTCATTCATCAGTTCATCCAAAGGTTATTTATGTGTGATAAACTCAAAATGGTGGACATTGATTTGTTTTAATATTCATTATTCTTTCATCTTACTCATTTATCAATCAATCAATCAATTAGTCTATTTATCTATTTACATGCCTTCTGTAAATCACTATAACAACGGGTAAACAACAATGAAATGAGACATTGAACAACATTCTGTTCATCACCATTGGTTACGTTGACCAAACTAATTTGCATAAAATTAATCTATAAAGTAGATTTTGTTTTGAAACAACTGTTTATTCAATGAGTAAAGAAAGACATTGAAGTTTTTTGTGTTGTGTGAAATGATTAAAGTCCTTTCTTTCCAAATTAGAGATAAAATAAATCGATACATATTCTATGTATGTCTATGTCTATGGCTATGACTACTATTCGATCGATGTTAATCAACGGTTGAAAATAATGGCGAGAATAAATGGTTCTGTTTCAATTTCAACAACTAAAACAAAATCTATTCAGGGTTCAATTTATCATGATGGTGGATGGTTCTTCACAAACTATTGTGGTGCGTGCTACTTATAAGTAGTATATGACGTGAGTGTCTACGTAATGTCTGGCAGCAGAAGATAGGGGAAGATCAAGAAAGGAAGAGTGGGAACACAATGGAATTTATATGAAACGCATGAATAAGTGAAATGTCAGACAATGGATTGATGTTTTGCAGCAGGAACAGTCCAGTTCGATATGATGGACTGATATTTTGCAAATTAACGATTTACGATATGGTTTTCCTATTTTACTGAGTAACTCTGTAATTTTCGTTAAATACAATTCGATTGCCCCATCTGTGTTCTCGTTCACTACAATAGGACTCATCAGCAGTGTGCACGATAGTCCAACGAAGAACATTCGGTTTCGTCCGAAAATGCTTAATATCCAAACCACTTAGTCAGCATCCTGCATTATTAATGTCTAACTTCAATTAATCCACAATGTGGTGCTACTATCATCCATTTTCTTAGATGAGTAACTGCCACATATTCGACTCAGTTGAAACGCAACAGTCTCCGCAGTTCTTATAATGAGGTGCTCATTAATGACTGGCTTCATGAGGACATGCTTAGTGTTCCAATGAGATATTGTGACGGATAGCATTCAAATATTTAAGGCAGTTGCTCACAGAAGACAATGGACGATGATCACTCAATAGTGTAGACTGACTTAAGGTACACATTAACATCACTGGATGCCGACTTAGTTATCTGGAGGCTAAGTGTTTGTGAGTGATTCTGAAGATTCTTTGGTGGATCCCTACGCATGGGCATCATGATTGCTGACTGCTGAAGAGTCTCGCAGTAGAACGAAACGGCTTTCCATGTGCTTCGACTGGCAGCTTCATGATTTCCTTGAAACTCAACTAGAGAAGAATAAACGATTTTAATTACATCTTTAGCAGTGTTCATTTGGGATAATGTGACAGTATAATTCAACGAATAACTTTAGTACTTTTGACAAGTACTATAACCTTTAGATAATTTCAGTTCAGAATTTTGAACTTTTAACAATCAGTAATACACTAAATCTGTTATTCAAACAAACAGTCTTAACTGTATAAATCACCGGGGTTCTCGTCAGAATTTGCATTTCATCTAGAACCATATCTGTAACGTCAATGTAAACTGTGCGAGCAAGGAGAGAAGGCTGTTTTATAACATGAACTGTTGTTAGTTAGATCACTAATCAAAACCTTGAAGTACTTGACAGATATTTCTTATCAGTATGGGAGTCATCAGCATCGAGTAATAACAACCTTGCATCTGAGAATTCAACCTAAAACCTTCGATTTCTCTAGTGAATGCTTAACTTTATGACCATTCAGTGGGCATCGAACGATGTTGATGTCTAACTGCAATCAATTCAATATGATGAGTAACTCTAATCTGTTGTCTACGGTAGATAACCGTCTCAAATGCAACAAGCTTAAATCATAAATGCATACTGTTCAACAGTATGCATACTAAGACGAAACGGACTGTACAGAACTTCCAAGCTTCCAATGCTGCTTTAAATAAGATCATTTCTTGATTAACAGTCTATGCGAATTTACGTTTATCATTTAAACTCTGCCTTGGGAATTAGAAAGTCTTCATTTAGAACAGTTATGAGGTCTCATGATGAAAACCGAATTTCTTCCGAAGTCACAAGGTTGATACTTCTTCCGGTAACCAGAGCAACCATTAAAATAGGTAAATAGAATGTATGTACATTATGGTTTAGTAAAGCAAGGGCAACATTTCTACAACTCGAAACAACTGTCAACCAATACAAAAGTCACAATTTTCAATACAGACGTCAAAACCATATTACTGTATGTAAATGAAACTTGGAACACTACTAGAAATATTATTCAAAACATACGCGTGTTTATTAACAAATGTCTCCGCAAGATACTTTGGATCTGTCGATCAGACACCGTCAGAAACAACAACTGATTGTGATAGATGAAGAAATTACCAAGGTGTATAGGATTACATATTATGGAAATCATTCCAACTACGTACGTCACAAGACAAACCGTCATTTGGAATTCTCAATGTCAAAAGAAAACAGGCAGATCAAATGACACACGACGCCGAAACCGAGAGGCCAAACATGAGAAGAATGAACAACACGTGAACAGAACTGGAAAAAGGAAGGCCTAGGACAGAGTTAGTTGGACAATGGTCTCATCAATATAAAACGCCTAAAATAACTCAAAAAGTCATAAGTTTGCTAAATAAACTCAAAATCTGATTATCGATCCACTCCTAGTAGCCTTAGAATCAATTCTACGTTACAAATTGACAACAAGAGAAAAGGCGCCAAGTACGAGAAGAACGCTTTACTTCAT